TTTAACTTGTTGGGCTGCCTTTCCTGCATGCAGTGGTTAAACAACACTTCAACAAAACTACTCCAATCGAGATAACGCTCTTAAGACAAGTAGTACTAACTGCGAGCACCAACTATTATCTCAACTAATGTGGCACGTAACGCGAAGGTTACTTATTCATTGTAAATAAATGGGGTTCAAAGTCAATCCAAATATAAACGAAATGTTGCCACATTAGTTGAGATTTTAACAGGTTCGGATATGAGTTAGTGCGTCTAGGTTTATTTTCGTATCAAGACAAAGAGTGCATACCATAGAATTCTCCTCTGCTAATGGAGTCCTGGTTTGCATCTCCGAGGGCTGCATCAGCCAAGTACTTGTCAGCCAGTTGGACTCTCTTCACATTGTCTTGCTCCTGAACAAGCATTTGACCATAGCTAAGGAGCTTCTCCAAGGTCATCTGAGGTTGCTCGAAAGTCGGGGGACCTTCTTTTGAGTTCACAAGCTTCTTCCCAATGCCGTCGATACCAACACCCGATGCCCACTTCCTCACTTCATCATCGTAAACTCGAGCCCTCAGAGCACCGAAGAAATCTGCAGTAAGCGATACAAGAAGTTAGCATGATCCTTTTTTTTTTTTACCAATCTTTAACCAAGCAATGCTATGTATCACATTTATTTGTTAACTGAGTAATGATATTTTGTATCACATTTACTGAGTACATCTCTAATAGATACGCTATTCAAGAAATATAAATTATATGCAAAATTACTACAACAACAGTATACTTACCAATGGATTGACCTGGGAATGTGTCAACAATCTTGACAACATCTTCGTGGGACACATTGTCAGGCTTGAAGATTCCGGTGCAAACACCGATCCGGTCTTCCCTAGTGGGAGCCCAGTAGAACTTCTCCATACGACCGTCACGAATGAGAGGGGCATACAATGTGGAGAAATCGTTACCAGTGACTATAATGGGGACTCTAGGATTCTCTTCCTTGTTGTACATACCGGGAAGCTGCACGTTTGTCGGGTTATCAGCAATGTTCATGAGGGTGGCATTCACCATCTGGTTGTTCACAGTGTACTGTGTGGTTCCACCCATCCTACCGGCACCTGCATCGAGATCATTGATGAAGAGGGCACACATTTTTCCTTTCCTGATGATGTCTGCAGCCTCACGGTACCTTTGCCTGATCAGTTTCGCGGGCTCTCCTGCGTTCCCGCTTTCTAATTCTCCAGCACTCATCATGATGGGGCTGAAATATGATCACAAGGTGTAATTAAAACAAAATGAATTGAAAATATTACTTCATTTTTATGTGATTCTTCATTAAAAACAAAAAAAACTTTCGTCAAGTTTACGAACTCACGTAATTCCCATCTTGGCAAACACAAGCTCACACTGGAAGGATTTTCCCTGACCTTTTCCTCCCCATATACCAAGAATGAGAGGAATCTGATACAAATTCAAATGAAATCATCTCAGCTGTCAAAACTAACAATCAAGGAATTCTACCAAAAAAACAAAAACCAACAATCGAAGAACAACGTTTAACTGCGAAAGTTAAGCTAATTATACTACTTGAAAGGAACAAAAGTTTATCTAATTTGGTAAATTCTGCAAATGGCATGGCAGATGACATGATGATATCTCATTTCTTAGTAGTTAGAACAAACATGAGAAAGTTAAGTTGATGATAATACTACTAGAAGCAACAAAACTATTCTCGAATTTTAGTCACCTTGTGAATTGCATATGGCGGATAACATGATAATATCTTACTTTTTACTCGTTAGAATTAAATAAGCTTCGAGATCTGTCAAATACGAGCAAATGAAACAGTGTCATATCAATTAAAAACCGAAGTTTTTAGATTTATTTTTTTGTGTTTGTAGCGTTATTCATACCTTAATGTTAGGCAGGCTCATGAAGTTTTTGGTTATGTGAACCACAAGCTTGTCCATGAAGGCCGGAGCGATGTAAAACCCATCCATGTTGTTGTCAAAGTTGTATCTGAAACACAAATCAAAACCTTACCACAAATCAAATTCAACCTCCAAGCATCCATGAAACAAAAAGGAATTAGTTTCAACATTTGCTCGCTTACTCTCGAAGTCCAGTGCTGATGTATTCGTATGAGCTCATGACAGCATAGTGAGTTCCAGTCCCCTGGGGAGCTTGGAACACAGAATCAACCAAACCCTTTCCTCTTGTTATGTCTTGTTGGTCATCGGAAACGTCGTAGGCAAGGCCCTTCCATCTGTCCTTGTTGGTTTGCTCGTCCTCGTCGATTTCCGCATTAATTTTTAAGTTGCCTGCAGATGCTACCTTCTGGTAGGGGACTCTTGAGATCACTTTCTTCAAACTGGTGCCCAAGAAGGCCGAGCTTCCGGAACCAGAGCTGATCAAGCTCACCTGGATCGAATATATAACATAACTTTGGAACCAAGAAACTCGGAAATTCATCAAAACAGAATCACAATTAAACTTCATTTCTTTGCATTTAGATTAACCTTTGAGCAAAATCCTTGTAAAAAATATAATAGTTAGTGAAAAAGAGAGATGATCTCGTGCAATTTTTTTCACCTTCTATGCACCCAGTTCATTTAAGTCTCTCGATTCTTGAGTCAAAGAGACTAGAAATAAACATGAATGTGCAAGAAGAAAAAAGTTGATGGAAATCACCTCTCATGTAAAGATACTTTGAGTTTGAGGTATCACACGGACAAATAAAAGTAACCTTTTTGGTGTTTTGGAATAGTATAAAGAAAACAATATAGATATGGGAAGTTATTTTTGTACAGTTCTTTATAAAATTAACCCTCGGCTTTAGCTAGAGTGGACAAATCAAATGAGAATTAGCAGACAAAAGCAAGCGAAGAAGTACATAAAATAGAAACTGATGGTGTCAAATCACTACATGAAGAACTGTTTTGAACGTAAAAATTATGTGACACAGAAACTCAAAAAAAAAAAATAGATAGAATATGACGGGAAACAATGTACCGGCGTCTGGTTAATGGTTCCGACGCTCGAGACTGTGTGCATGGCGGCCATGGATCAAAGTGGTGTCCTGAGACTGAGGAGCTGCGACTACAAATTAATGTAACAAAGCTGCAGGTAGTGATAGGTGCATATAAGGTGAGACCAAAGTGTGATGAAAACATGCGTGGTTGTAAAAATTCTGAAGGCCACACAATGGGGATTAGCTGAGTGACACGTGGCTCTCTGTGGACAAAATAGGATAATCCTACTTGGCTTCATCCTACTTTACAAACATGACAAAATACACAACAGTTGAGAGGATCAGATTTAAGCTTTGCTTCTTCACCTCAGAAAGTGGATTGGGTTTTGAGACCCTTTGTCTTGAAAAATAATGCACTATTAAGTTAAAACATTGAGAGTGTACTCACATGGAAGAGTCAAGCAAACTTCATGTCATTGATGTTCAACCATACAAAATGCGAGGTTTTAGAGTTTTAAATGGAAAATGATTTCCGCACACTATTTTTCTTCTTCTACACATTTTTGTTTATTTTTGTTAATTAGTTTTTTCTATTTATTTATTCAATTTAAAGGTCAGATGTATATAAGAGTACACAAGAGGAGAAAATGTGTATGCAAAAATCACTCTCTTCCGTCTAAAACATATACGTGTGACAATGTGTTTCTCTTACACGAAAGTAATGTCTAACAATCCTTCATTGCTATTGATTGTACAAACTCTTCATTGTATTCACAGTGATTTGAGACGTCTTGTGATTTTGGGGTTTCAGACTGCTTTTGTAAGAGGCACTTCTTCTCATAGGCACCTTCCAAGTTCATTCTAAAAAGGTAGTTAGAAAAATTTCCTAAAGAAGCACCTTGCTTCTCTAAAAAGCATTTCTAGAACTTATAAACACGTCAAACATAGTCGGAAACACTTTTAGTTGGCATAAAACTCTTTTATTCCTCCCGTGTAAAGTATGGAGTTTGCAATGTCTGCAACATTATTTCTCCGGACAGTCGCTATGCTTGAGACTGACTTCAAAATGTTGTAAGATTATTATTCTCAGTTGAAATGTTGTATCCATAAAAGCTCAAACTGAAGTTGCGTTGGGAGTTTCTAGTATCACAAAAGTTGAAAGAATCTATCCAACTACAGCTGCTAGTTCACCAAGCATTAAAACATGCGTCCTCGTCTTAATAACAGACGCAGGAATGCTCAATATTTCTTGGGGCATTGCCTCTTCCACCACAAAGCCTTCGAACCATCAAAGGTTTTGGCCAGGGGGTTAGCATCTATTCGAGAGTTTTGATTTTATTTCCTCCTAACTCAAGCCTTTGGTTTCGGGGACAGTCAGTACAACGAAGATAAGAGATAACAAGGCGAGAGCACCGAAGAGGATGAAAAGGTTATCTGCTCCTAGCGCCTCCTGCAGAATTAGCAAATGTTAATGAACCACTCCTACACCAGTCAGTTTAAAGACTTTTAACTCATGAGATATCAGAAAACCTGCTTGAACTTTGAAAGAACTAGATTGGCATCATTACGAAGAAATAACGTGGGGAGGAGGCATCTATGCATACCTTCAGCGGCGAGAATGCAAATGTCACAATCGTATCTGAAGCAAAGTTCGTAAGATCAGCAAGACGTGTGAGTAGATCTTACTCTTAAACAGATTAATTTTATTCAACACGAATTTGACATCGTACAATTGGTCAATTATCAGTCTTTACTTTTATCTCCTTTAATTAGTAAGTTGAGTAACCATCAACGCGAATTTGACACGACACGGCATATCCCTAGCTTTATCTCCTTTGGTTCATTTGCTCCACCAAGCTTGGGGCACAAGCCAACGCCTCAGTGCAAATGACCGTTACGAAAATTCCGTTTTTCCAACCGTATGTCCACCTCCATACCCGAACCCTTAATTTTAGCCAAGAGAGAATTAGTCATGATTAAGCACCATTACTATCTATATCTTTTACGTTAAATTTCCTACCCTTTATAAACCTCTACGTACAGTAACCCTAACTGTCTGATCACAGAGACAGACCTGAATTTCTACGGAAATTTCGAACAAGAATTTCGAAAAAGTTTCGTAGAATCATCCGAAACAATGGAGAGTTACAATGCTTGCAGCGTCAAAGCCGACACAGGGAAGGCTCCAACTAGGTTACAACAGCGTGCGCCAGCGTCTCTTCACCTTGATCAAATTGCAAGCACTGCCTCGACCAACCCTTTATCAAACGATGACGCCACAATGACGATCCCATTACTGTCTCCGGTACTCATTCCATCCCCGCATCCAGTGGCAGTGGCGATGGAAAAAGCCGGTGATCAAAACGTGAGAAGTAGTATTGCACCGCCTTTTCCTGCTGCAGGCGGGTGGCAACACCCGGCTATGGCTCCTTTTGTGGATCCCTCAACGTTGTTTGCCATGTTTCAAACCCAGTGCATGATCGCGAACCAAGCGCGGTACTGACATTTAAAGAATTCGACCTGTATGCATTGAGTTTTCGGACGAAAATTAATGGATAGGGCCTGTGTTTTGATAGGGCTTTGCCTGCCTGCTGCATTGTGTAGAACAGAGTACAAATCATTCTCAAACATTAACCTGCATTTCTCCACGGTTTCTGATTATATTTGACTTCATGATTCCGTTTTGTTTTTCGTTTTTCTCCTACCTCACACTTTGTCTTCAAAAAATTTCAAGTTACTCTATCAAAACCACCCAAAAAATGGAAAATGAAAGCATAGAAACCACAACGTTGCTGCTTCAGAACCTCGGGTGTTTGATCGGGCGAAATAACACATCATCTGTTAACCTGAAGCAAATAAAAAAAAAAAATCCGAAAGAAAACAAGTTCCTACGGATGCAAGCTTGAACAACACTATGAATGCAGAAATAAACGCTTGAGCTACAAGCCCCTTGCTCAGTCTAAACTCGTTGTCTAAAAAAAAATCATTGCAATAAGTCTACATTTCCAGACTCGAAGCTCCAAAACATAAATGAATCACGTCGCATTTCAAACCAAAAAATGGCGTTAGAAACGCAGAGTTACCAACTGCAAGTAAGTCTTAAACATAAAAATTACAGGGGGCAGAGTACTTCCCGAAGATAATAATCGAATTGCATTGCAAGTAAACCAATTTAATGCAGTTGCATTCCATCAAAGAAATATAAAACGTCCGTACGCACGAGTAGCCAATCCCATTTTTAAAAGGCCAAAAAAGCTCATCCTGTATGTACAATAGGCCAACAACATCCATCCCATATTCTTTAAAAACAAAGTATCTAGCATTGTCTTTCTCTTCCCCTCAACCTCTCTCATAATAACAATTCATAAAGAAAAATTAGGAAACACCCGATGATATCATCTCGGACTTGCTTCACTAGGGCAACTGCCGCTGTTTGCCAAAATAGGCTTTCTCCATGAAATTCAGAATTCAAATTCTCCCGTCGCCTGTAAGAGCCAGCATTCCAAAAGAAAGGTCATGAGGATAACAAGTGCAAAAGGAATGAAGAACATCAAACCCTTTAAAGTACACTTTACCTTGTTGAAGAGAATATCCTTGTTGTTTATGTGCATAATGCCGTCCTTCAATGTGCACTTCCACTTGCTCTTGGTGCGCGTTACCTACCCAACCAAACACACGAGAAGACAATTGTTAATCATATTGGAGAAAGAAAACTGAAAAACCTATATGGAGTCTAAATATTATAGTACTAATGCTGCGGAGAGAGACCTTGTCAAACTGGGCTAAAACCAAATGTGCTGTGTTTAGCTCATCGCCTTGGTCCACATCATCCAACTCATCGTCATCATTTTCATTCAATGGGGGCTCATCATCATCATCATCTCCAACATCATTTTGAATAACCGGGGCTGGAGTGCTCACTGGTATATCTGGAGGTTAAAAAATGATGAGAGGAGTAGGCTTCAACACCACAGAGATGGATTTATGACACTTAAAACTTATCCACTCCTACGGTAATCACAATGTTCACAAGTTTATCACTAGATTACCATGGGGAGCAGGTGTGCTGGCAACATTGTAGTCTTCATTGAAAGCTCCTTGATAATTGTATATCTGTAGGGAAAGGGGAGGAAAAGGCAACAGTTCATAAGTAAAAGAAAATTATCATATACTAAGAACAGATCCAGAGCAGATCAGAAAGAGGGGCATTGAAAAATAGCTGGTTCATCATCCTTAAACTTTCAAAGCACGTAGCCAACGCAACACAGCTTATTGGATAAATAAAAGATATGTATGTATCCAGAATTTATACTTCAGAGAGTTTAGACATCAAGTCAATGGTTAAGAGATACTGGCTAGTACCCGAGAGAGACTGGCTAGAGTCCAGAACCAAATATCAACAACCAAGTAAATCCCTCGAGCTAATTCAAACAAGAGAAAACAAAATCCAAGTTCCCAGTACTCTATCTAAAGAAAAAAACATGCACCATTTTTCCTTGACCATTGATATCACAGTCGACTCATTTCAGGCTGTAAACTACAAGTTGAAAACTTAAATATAAAATAAAAAACCACCAGACTTATTCCCATACAATATTTCAAGTTAGGGTCCTCCAGGCAATAGTGCATCACATGGGCGACACTAGAAATGCCCAATGAAAATCACCCTGGTGGGCCCTAGAAGAAATGAACTTAATACCATGTGGATCACTTATCCGATATTAAACTGACAAGGACATATGGTACACTTGACCTTAGCCAAAAAGGTAGAGAAAGGTATTTTTGCTATACGGTAGAAACCTCCACCAGAAAAATAAAAACAATACAAATTTGATGCGGATTCCTATATTAACTCTCTTTTGTTTGCCAAAAGGATGGAAAATCAACCTCCGTAAACCAACACAGCAGTGGCATGCAGATTAATGGTGGTCACTTGTATGTGTTACTCTAACATTATATATTATAGAAGGCAATTTAGACTACATAAACACACAATTTCGAGCCACGTGTGAAATTTTCATAACAGTTCTTACATTGGGAGTAGAAAGCTCATCATAAGGATCAGGGATTGGTCCATCAAGTTGAGGAATCTTGAGAGTAGAACTTCGTACACGAGTTAACATCTCACTCCATGTACGGCTGGCAATGGATGAGCTCCCTTCACTGACCTGAAAGTTTATCACCATTAAATGATTAAATAGCATATAACAAAAAGTAAAAATAAATAAAGGCAAAGCGTGCTGGTTTAGAAGTGTTTTTCCATGCTCTGAGTAACTTGAATTCATAAAGATAAAGAAACAACTATTAATAGCAGCAACAGTGTACTACTCCGACAAAAACATAAAGATATGACCAGTCACATGCCATTGTGAAGCGCAGAAAATAGTCTTATCTAAACAATGTACTAAGATTAAAACACACAGGCCTCCTGCCTGGAATATTTGCAGCATAATGGCTAGCTAGTTACAATTGTAAATTCTAACCTTATTTAATTGATCCAAAAGAGAAAAAACAACAGTGACCCCAACCATAATTTACAGCTACATAGATGAACTATAGTCCTTTGACATCAAATGACACCTAAAACATACCTTTCAGGAAAAACTAATAGACCCCAAAGGAGAAATCACTTGCAAAAGAAAATTGCAGTAACAGTGATCATAATATATGAGACCATTTGAGTCCAAGTCCTAAGTCAAACACCAGGTACTGTGACAAAACCTACAAAACTAGCCCAGAAAGACGAATATCTAATATAAATGAGGAAATGGCCTTCCAAAGTGAAGAAAATATGCTTTTTTCCTTTGAGTATATTCCCATTAGAACCATTCATGATTTTTCTATCTTTCAAGAAATGCTAAGGAGACTCTCTCAAAGTGGGACTCTCCATGGACTCTCTCACACCTCACAGTTTAACGTTAGTTTTCATGCCAACATTATAAAACATTGTGCCAAAAACATGAGGTGGTAGAGAGTCCATGGAGAGTCCCACTTTTGAGAGTCTCCTTAGCATTTCTATTTCCACTTTCAGCACTTTATGATTTTAATATCAATTACCACTTTTAGCACGTCCTACTTGCGCCAACATTCACCGGAAATTGAGCAATTCCACAAGAACAACCTACCTCATCGTTGCCATTATTGACCAAATTTCAAGCATTAACCATTTTTTTCTTTCAACACTTGCAAGGCCATCAAACCCAATGGAATTTTTCATAAAATACACAGATAATTTTCCATTCAAATTTTATGCTCCTCCAATGAGTGCACAAATGAAGACAAAAAAATTCATATAGCCAACCGTTTCATACTTAATGAGAAAAGTCTTTTTTCCACTTTAAAAACAAAATTTGCTGAGCAAATTAATTTATAAAACAATACAAAACCAGAGGGTCCATCGACATGAAAGAACAAATCAAGAATAGAAAATGACAAAACAGTCTCAAACAATCAAATTTCCCCCTTATCTTATAGCTCCTGTAGAGGCAGACTTGCTCCAGATAACCTTTTAATCCTAACAACTGAATTGACCTATAACTCGCCAAAGGAAAAAGAACAAAAAAGAAGAAGAATCTCAGCTTCACGAAATGAAATCAGAGAGGGAGAGAGAGTTCTGAATGATCACATAGGACTGTGCAATGCCATTTATTCCATAACAGTTTATGCATTTAGACAAATACAGCCTAATTGGAGCCTTTCGAGCTTTTTTTTTTTTTTTTTTTTTTTTTTTTTTTTTTTTTTTTTGAGAAGAAACAAAAACAATTTATTAGAATAATAACATGAATTACAAAATAGTGGATAAGAAATCCACCATCTAGAAAAACTAGCTAAGACCTCTCAAGTATATCTATTTACAGGTAACATAACCTCAACCAAAATCATTTTACAGCTGCTAACATATCCCACACTATATAAGAGAATAATCCCTGAACTCATTTGAAACTGATGCCCAGAGGGCTGCCCAGTCTCTTACTCTACCCCATAGTCCTGCTACCCCCATTCCATTATAATCCTCAAAAACTCTTCTATTATGCACCAACCCAATATTCCAAAAAACTGCCAACACCAAACAGCCCCACAAAGCTTTAGCTTTCCTCCCCTTTCCTAAAGCCTAAAACTTGGTGCTTAGAAGCTCGAACCAACCCTTTGGAATGACGCAACTATCTCTAACTTCCTGAAACAATTTCCACCACAACTGTATTGAGGAAGAACAAAGGAGAAAAACATGATTAACACTCTCCTCCTATTATATCATCCACAACCATGTCCCACCAAAATATACAAGTCACCTAAACATTTGAGTGCAGTTGAAGCATGAGATAATTTGTAATTCATTGGATAAAGAGTCTCAGGTCACATTTTCTTCATATTTTCAAACGCCAGTAATCTAGTCTTAGATTTTACAAAACATAGACACCCATCTAGAGATTCAAATAAATAAAAATCACTCATACAATGGATGAATGTTAAAGAAAAATAGAAGTTGGTATGACATCATGATCATCAGACCGTCCGCACCAATCTTGTCAGAAAGTGAGGGGGAAAAGCAGGAAAGAAAACAAACCTCAATCTCAAAAATCTCAGGTGCAGCATCTCCAGCTCCATCTTGCTGGGGTATATATCCACCAGCTTGATACTTTGCAGGAAAATCTTCACGTTTTCGCTTTCCAGAATTCATCTGGAAAAAGTCCTAAAATTTTCTCCAACATTACAATAATGACCAACTATAGTGGTAATCCAACGACACCATCTCCATGGCAATGACCAAGTGAACCAAAGCCATTCAGAACTCTTTAATCATGATTTTTCTTCGTACCCAGAAACCCAGTCATTTTTCTGCTAAATTGAATTGTAAATAATAGTAGGGATTACCTGTGTTGAGGGTTGATGAGAGGCCCCTCTATCCGCCTCATCCCGCCCTTCCACGTAAGCTACACCAATAAAATGTGAATTACTACAGAACTTTTGAAAGAACAGCTATATACAACAATACGCTCCAACTTACCAATATTAACATCAAGAGGGGGGCGGTGGTTAATCCAAGTAGATGGAGGTTGCTGCAAACAGAACAAAGATAATTTAGGTTCTCTTATACTATTACAGTATTACTGGAAATTTATTATAAGAAACGCGTGTAAAGAG